CTGAAAATGTTTTATGTAAATATAAATCTACAAGAGAAGTGATTTAGATTTAATTATCCTCACAAAAAAGTATTAAAAGGCTTAAAAAATTCTTATTTCATGTCGGTAATTAATACCTGTGATGGCCTCTTGGTGCTATCTAGTGTAACCAAGAAAACCTCTATCTGTCGCTCTTTATTGACTGGAAGAGGCAGAGACAAGTAGCAAAATGGATCGAAGGTCACAGATATTTTTGAACACTCTGGACACACAAGTGTTGATTTCAGCAAACCATGGAAAGTATCAACTATAATTGAATTATTCCTTTTCTGGTAATTTTCCCAAGCTTCTTTGGCCACCACCTTTATCAATTTAATAATTATAAGAGTAATTATAACACTAATCAAAATAATCAGTAAAATAATTGTTATTTACAAGAAAATTCAAAAGTTATTGGAATATGTTTGATTCCTAAAGTTCTAATAAGTCAATCAAAACATACATTAACCATTAGAAGTAAGCAGAGTCATGGAAAGAACCAAGCTCACTTTTCTTTCAAACGATACACCTATATGAAGTCAAACTACAAAAACTGAGTTAGTTTTATAATATATGCAACAGTTTTTAGATCTTTGAAAGAGTCATGATATAAAATTTCTGCCTCAATAACAATTTCCTTAAGCTCCTAAAATGTAAAGTTCTTTTACCTGTCCTATTTGAGGACATTGTGAAAAAGTTTGATCATTTGTCACTTATTTTATTTATTTTGTTTTCAGATCCTAGTTTGAGAGTTCACCATTCTGTTGTTAGTGAGTTTACATGAAGGAAACACCACATAAGAATGATCTGTTTAAATATTAATTTCTCAAAATACATTATTTGACAAGATGACCAAAGAGAAAGAAATATCTAAACAAAAAGGATAAGAAGCTAACCTCATCGGGTCTTCCATTAGCATCTTTTAATTCAATATAAGGCTTGTTTTTCACTCTGTTTAAGTCTTCATGAAGACCATCTAAAAGAAAAGCCATGAGCTCTTGGCAGTCTTGCTGTTGGGTGCCTGAGAACTGGGGTGCAAACCTTCCCACTGCCATCTGCAAGGTAAACATTTTATCATATACTTCTTACTAGGCAGTTTCAACAGTCACACTCCACAACTTTACCATACACTCCCTACCCAACAGTTTTGACAGTCACACTCCACAACTTTACCATACACTCCCTACCCAACAGTTTCAACAGTCACACACCACAACTTTACCATACACTTCCTACTAGAAAGTTTCAACAGTCACACACCACAACTTTATCATACACTTCCTACTAGAAAGTTTCAACAGTCACACTCCACAACTTTATCATACACTTCCTACTAGAAAGTTTCAACAGTCACACTCCACAACTTTATCATACACTTCCTACAAGAAAGTTTCAACAGTCACACACCACAACTTTACCATACACTTCCTACTAGAAAGTTTCAACAGTCACACTCCACAACTTTACCATACA